TTCGTTAACATGTCAAACTATTTGCTTACTAATACTTTTAACTTGAAGTGATAAGATGCTATTTCTGATGAGGTATCTAATGAATTTTCATTTTAATATAGGCTCTGAACCAAGTTGTCCTATGGGACAAGATCGTTCTAAGAGGTGATAATCCGAAGCTACTGCTGAAAGATATGAAAACAAAATATTTTTTCTTTGACGATGGAAATGGTCTCAAGTGAGCAATTCTTTGTCATTTTTACATTTAATAAGATGTGAAAGGGAGAGACAAATGTAATGTAATTTTATTTTAAAGAAAAATATTAGAGGGTAAAAGGACAATTGGGAGAGAAGTATTTATGCAACTCTGAACTCAAGATTAGGTAGAAATACAAATTGGGATCTAAGACAATTAGTTCTCTTGCAGTATGTGAAATGTATCAAATTAATGAATGCCTACAGCTTCTCCTTTTAAGTGTACAAGGAGCTTGGGCTTGCCCATATGTAGTAGGGCTGTGATTGTCAAATTAAAGGGCTCCTTTCTGGATATGAGTCAGGGAAACCTTAATGAGGAAGCAGCCCATTGGGTCTAGGAGTTGATACTGCTTAAGAGAACTAGTATGGGTTCTCATAACTTAGCTTTTCTAAACTTTAGTTTACTCTTATACAAAATGAAGGAATCAGAGTGAGTGATCACTTAGGTCATTTTGATCTCAGACAGTCTATGGGTAAACATCAGTAGAAGAGAGTTATTTTGACAAACCAAACCTCTCTATTTGTAGGTGAAAATTTGATGCTGTGAGAGATTTGGGTTGTTCAGGGTTTGCATGTCTGGATGATGACAGAATTAGATTTCAAATCATTGTCGTCTTATGCCAAGCTCAAGTCTCTTTTCACATTTATTGCATTTTACTCATTTAAGCTTTTGAGTATAGTTTTCTTAACTGCAGCTGTAAGTGAGTTTAAGTTGGTCATTTTGGGATACCTGTAGGTGTAATGATGGTGTCTTCCAGCATTATCCTTGGATTTCAGATGACATGAGAAAATAGTTTTTTTTGCAGATTAGGATTCCTGTTAGGAATAGCTGGTTATAAATAAAGTGTTTGACACCTCAGTGCTTAATTTAAAATTGTTTTTTTTTTTAACTAATAGTGTTTCTGCTAACTATTATTTTATCTTTTTATAGGGGAAACAGGAATGTCACTTTGACCCTGTCTTGGAACGTTGTACCAAATGCTGGAATTCTACCTCTGGTGACAGGATCAGGACACGTATCTGTTCCATTTCCAGATACATATGAAATAACGAAGAGTTATTAAATTATTCTGAATTTGAAACAACATATTTTTATACTTAATGAATTGTA